GAGCTCCGGAACCACCAGCCCAAGTGAGTCCCGGCAGGCGGACACCCGCGAGTGGTGGAGGCAGTCGGCCGGCCAGCGCGCGGTTGGAGGCGCTGCGTCCGCAGCTTATGGGCGCAGACCTGGCCGGGTTGGCCCTGTTTAGGCCATCCCTGTCCTCTGCCTCAGTCCTTTTCTGGGGTGCTGACAGGCCTGCCTTGTAAGGGTGACACGGGAAAAGCTTACCACGGAGTGGTGCGGGTTGTGTTCAGTGAACAGCAGCCCTCATCTTAAGGGACCCAGGAGGAAGAAGGCCAAGGGGAAATTGTCGGGACTGGTTGGGACACGTTAACTTGGAAAGAACAGTGACCCACGGAGAAGAGGAAAATGGGGACACTGAAGGAAGGAGTCAGGAGGGCCTGACGGAAGCCCCGGGAGCACGGGGCTCGGTGGTGAAAGGGGAGGGGACAGGCCACAGGGGACGCCACAGAAAGGGCCCCCTCAGGCCAGCCCAGCTCTGTCCCTAGATGGGCCTGGATCGGCCTGGATCTGACTCTGACTCTGTGAGAGCCCTGCGGTCACAGGTGCTGCGAGGCTGATGGCAGGAGTCTCACCAACAACTGGGCACGGACCACCCAGACCTTCTACAGCCAGGGGCCGCTGCTCAGGATCAGCCTCCCCGCTGTCTCTGCGTGCAGGCTCTGTGCTGGGCTGTTGGCCTGGGGGGGCCAGGTGGGGGCCTTGGAGATGAGCTCTTTCAAGCTTTTCATTCTGCAGACAGTTCTGTTCTTCACACATATTGTGATGTCAGCCATGCCTGGCCTTGTGAGTCAGTCCCTTTTAGGCACCTTTCAGACCTAAAAACACTGAAGTGTATAAGGTGATAAAAACTCTACAGAGGAGGTGGCCAGGGATTTATTTGATCTGGATAGAGGTTTAAGAAGCTGGGTTTTGCAGATTGAATAGAACTTTGGGGTTGCATCAGAGTCTGATGTGCATTCTTGGTTGCAGGGAGCCTCACTGTGACTTGGAGGCCAGTGGGGTCACGGGTGTGGGCCCTGTGCAGGCACTGCCCAGCACCTGTCTAGAGAAGGTGGAAGAACAGCCAGAGGATGCAGATAATCAGCGAAATGTCACTCGGATGGGCAGTCAACCCTCGGATCTGAGCACCACTGTACATATCCCAGTAACGCTGACCGGCCCCCCCGGGGAGACCACGGTTGTTCCCAGTGAGTATCTCCCCAGATCAGCGGTGCAGGACCCACCGTGTGCAGGCCCAGTTTGCTTTCCCTTTTCCCTCCTGCTGTGTGGAGACACAGCATGCCACTGTGAATTGTTCCCCAGTTGGAAAGCCCTTTGCTGTCAGCATTGGTGCCTTGATGGCCCTTTGCTTTCCACTGCCCCAGAGGATACATGGCATTTAAGCTCTGTTCTCCTCTCTTCCAGAAATGTTTGCAAGTTAGCAGGTAAGTGCCAGGCATGGGGTTAAGGTGCTGAGGACACAGCAGAAGGGGGCAGGACCGCGCTGCCTTTGTGGGGCTTGTAGTCTTATCAGAGAGACAGTCCACAAAATGGTCACGACTCTTCATAGTTGCACAAACACTGCTGAGGATTATGGCCACAGGCTTGGCTGGGGTCTCAGGGTGGTGGTCGTCCCACCTGCATGCTCTGTGGTCCCTGCTCTAAGGCTCCTCCCAGGCCTTTGCCCGAGTTTCCCGTTCTCTCCAGTCCCTCCTTCACACTGCTCACGAGGTCCTGGTTTTTGCCGCCACTCCATTACTGACCGTGGGCAGGCACTGCGGGTCCAGGGTGAACAAGGTGCCGTTCCTGTCTTCAGGTCACTCTGTCCAGGAGGGAGAGACCGGCAGGGGACTGTGCGCAGGTGTGTGGGTGTTCTGTGAGCACTGAGGATAGAGAGAACATTCCCGGGGGAAGGGAAAGCCCACAGAAGCAGAAGTGACTTGGAATTCCAGGTACAGACCAGGCGCTGCCCAGGCCTGCCTGTGTGTGCAGACGTGTCCACGTGCAGACGCACGCACGCGCCCACTCTCTCGCTCAGGTGCTCCCACCTGGGGCCTGTGGACCAGTGTATGAGGCCGGGTGCGACCGTGGGAGGCTGCTGGCTCTGGCTGCTTAGCCTCCCCTTCCTCTCTGCTTTCCTAGGAGAGAGCTTTCCCCGGTCCGTTCTGTTGTTTCACCTGCACAGGTCCTAGTGCATCTGTCTTCCCAGACTCCCAGGAATCAGCCCCCGGGTCTGATTCTTTTCAGATTAGCTTGAGGACAAGCCCAGGGTCCCTACCTGGCTTCTGTCCACAGGGGTCCAGGTGTAGCCCCTCCCCCAACCCCTGGCCACCACTGACCTTTTTCCTGTCTCTGTAGTCTGCCTTTTCCAGAATGTCATGGTTGGAATCATGTAGCCTGTAGCCTCTTCAGGTTGGTTTCTTTCACTTACCAATGTGCATTTAAGGTTCCTCCATGTCTTCACATAGCTGGATAGCTCATTTCTTTTTAGTGGTTAGTAATATTCCATTGTCTGAATGTACCAAGTTTACTTGCTGTTCACCTATTAAGGATACCTTGGTTGCTTCCAAATTTTGGCAGTTATGAGTAAAGCTGTTGTAGGTACTCATATTCAAGTTGTTGTGTATGCTTAAGTTTTTGGCTCATTTGGGTAAAAACTTAAGAGCACGACTTTTCGGGTTATGTGGTAAAACTATGTTTAGCTTTGTAAGAAGCTGGTCTAGCAAATTGGCTGTGTCATTTTACATTCCTATAGCAACGAATGAGAATTCTTACTGCTTCACATCCTCTCCAACATTTGGTGTTGCAGTGCTTTGGATTTTCACCATTCTAATAAATGCGAGATGATATCGCACTGTTTTAATTTGTAATTGATGACATATGATGTTCAGCTTCCTTTAATGCCGACTTTTCAACTGTGTATCTTCTTTGATGAGGTGCCTGCATATATCTTGTGCCTGGTTTTTAGTTTTATTTTTTTTTGAAGAAAACTTAAGAGACAATTTTCTAAAGAGCAGTTTAAGGCTCAAAACAAAATTGAGGGGAAGGTATAGAGATTCCCATACACCCCATGCTCCTACACATGCATAGCCTTCCGCATTATCAGGACCACTCACCAGAACGGTGCTTTTTTTTTTTTTAAACCAACACGGAGCCTACATTGACACGTTACAATCACCCAAAGTCCATAAGTCACGTTAGGGTTCACTCTTGGTGTTGTATATTCTGTGGGTTTGGACAAATGGATAATGACATGTGTCCATTGTTATAATATGATACAGAGTGCTTCCACTGCCCTAACAGTTCTCTGTGCCACGCCTGTTCACCCCTTCCCACCTCCCACCAACCTCAAGCAGCCGCTGATCTTTTCATTGTCTTAACTATTTTGCTTTTTCCAGAATGTCATAGAACTGGAATCATGCAGTCTGTAGCCTTTTCAGATTGGCTTCTTTCACTTACAGATACACATTTAAGGTTCCTCCATGACCTTTCATGGCTTGATAGCTCATATCTTTTTAGTGCTGAGTAGTATTCCATTGTCTGGGTGCACCACAGTTCATTTATCCATTCAGCTCCCAGAGAGCATCTTGGTTGCCTCCAAATTTTGGCAATTATGAATAAAGCTGCTATAAAAATTTGTGTGCAGGTTTTTATGTGGACAAAAATTTTCAACTCCTTTGGGTAGATACCAAAGAGAGTGATGGTTGGATCATATGGCAAGAGTATGTTGTTTTAGAAGAAACCACCAAACTGGTTGTGCCATTTTGCATCCCACTAGCAATGAGTGAGAATTACTATTGCTCCACATCCTCGCCAGCGTTTGGTGGTGTCAGTGTTCCAGATTTTGGCCGTTCTACAAGTGTGTAGTGGTATCAGATTGTTTTAGTTTGCATTTCCCTGATGACGTTTGACGTGAAACATCTTCATATGCTCTTTTACCCTCAATATACCTTCTTTGGCGAAGTGTCTGTTTAGGTCTTTGGCCCAGTTTTTAATCAGGTTGTTGTTTTTGTTGTTGAGTTTTCTGGTGTCTTTGTGTATTTTGACTTTTATCAGTCATGTCTTTTCCAGTTAGTTGTTTGTCTTCTCGTTCTCTTGCTGTCTTTCGTGGAGCAGAGGTTATTAATTTGAATGAAGTCCAGCTTATCCATTACTTCTTTCATCGGTCATATTTTTGGTGTTGTGTTTAAGAAGGATCACCACAGCAGTGTTTTGCATTTCACGTTCAGACCTGTGGGCCATTTTGGGCTAATTTCTGTGAAGGGTGTAAAGCCTCTCTAGGTTCTTTTTTTTTTTTTTTTTGCACATGGATATCCTGTTGTTCCAGCACCATTTGTTGAAGACACTGTCTTTTTTTTCCCAGTGTATTGCTTTTGTTCCTGTGTCGATGGTCAAGTGACTGTTATTTATGTGGGTCGATTTCTGGGCTCTCTGTTCTGTTCTGGTGATCTGTTTGTTCATTCTTTCACTGAACTGCACTCTTTTGATTATTATAGCTGTGTAGGAAGCCTTGAAGTTGGGGAGTGCCAACCCTTTACCTTTGGTCTTCTTCGATACTGAAGTGTTGGCTATTGTGAGTCTTTTGCCTCTCCATATAAACTTTAGAATCATTTTGCTGATATAAAATAACTTGCTGGGATTTTGATTGAGGTTGCACTGACTCTATAGATCAAGTTGGGAAGAACTGACAACTTGACAATATTGAGTCTTCCCCATCCATGAACATGGAATATCTCTTTATTAATTTAGTTCTTTTATTTCATTCTTCAGAGTTTTGTAGTTTTCTTTATAGAGACCGTGTACGTATTTTGTTAGATTTTACACTGAAGTATTTCATTGGGGGGATGCTAATGTAAATGGTGTTGTCTTTTCGATTTCAAATGTCACTTGTTCATTGTTGGAATAGGTAAACAATGGACTTTTGTATGTTAACCTTACATCCTACAACCTTGCTAAAATAAGTTATTAGTTCTAGGAATTTTTTTGTTGATACTTTCAAATTCTCTACATAGATGATCAAGTCATCTTCAAAGAAAGACAGGTTTTTATCTTCCTTCCCAATCTGCATGCCTTTCATTTCCTTTTCTTGCCTTATTGCATTAGCAAGGACTTTCAGTATGGTGTTAGAAAGGAGTGGTGAGAGGGAACATCTTTTCCTTGTACCTGATCTTAGTGGGAAAGTTTCAAGTTTGTATGATGTAGGTAGGTTTAGGGTTTTTTTTTGTATATTCTTTATCAGGTTGAGGAAATTCCTTCTATTCCTAGTTTGCTAAAAGTTTCTGAGTTTGATTTTGTCAAATGCTTTTTCTGTATCTATTGATATGATTTTGTGATTTTTATTTTTAAGTTTGTTGATGTGATGGATTACATTTATTGATTTTTGAAAGTTGGACCATCCTCACCTACCTGGGATTAATTCCACTTGTTTATGGAATGTAATTCTTTTTATACTTTTTTGGATTTGCTTTGCTAATATTTTACTGAGAGTTTTTACATCTATGTTCATGAGAGATACTGGTGTATGGTTTTCTTGTGATGTCTTTTCTGGTTTTGGTATTAGGGTAATGCTGGCCTATTTCTCATATCCAGCATACAGTCTCAGTCATGCATGTGTATACATATATCCATCTTCATATTCTTTTTCATTAAAAGTTACTACAAGATATTGACTTTAATTCCCTGTGCCATACAAAAGAAACTTGTTTTTTTAAAACCTATTTTTATATATGGTGGTTAACGTTTGCATAATTATTTATCCTTTTAATGTCCATGGGATCAGTAGTGGTGTCTCCTCTTTCATTTCTGGTATTAGTAATTCTTGTTTTCCCTTTTTAAACTTAGCCTAGCTAAAGGTTTATCAATTTTACTGATCTTTTCAAGGAACCAGCTTTTGGTTTTGTTGATCTCTTGGTTTGCTGTTTTCAGTTTCATTGATTTTTGCTCTAGTTCTTATTACTTCTTTTCTTCTGCTCACTTTGGATTTAACTTGCTCTTCTTTTTCTAGTTTCCTAAAGTGGAAGTCTAGATGATCAATTTTAGATCTTTCTTCTTTTCTCATTTATGCATTCAATGCTATAAATTTCCTTCTAAGTATTGCTTTTGGGTTTTCATTTTCATTCAGTTAAAAATAGTTTTAAATTTCTCTTGAAATTTCTTCCTTGACCCATATGTTATTTGGAAGTGTGCTGTTAAATCTTTGCATATTTGG